ATTAACCACAAAGCAATTATCGGTTGGTTGGATGAGAGTTACGTCTCAGGGAAGGTGTTTCTCGACGTGTTTAATAGGTGTTGAGTAGTTTGATCAGTCAACAGAAGTTGTTTCTGAGGCCTGCCATCCAGCGGAGGTGGATCCGATGCTGAAGCGTGCGCCAGCAGAGAAGTCAATTAATTAGACTGTTGCTCTTCCTTTCATCCACTTTTCATTAACCTCCATTGACACTTCGGTGGAGCTGGTGCACAGGTTTACGACTGCGCCGGGATTAACGAGGAAGTGGGAAGTTGGCAATAAACAAAGTTGCCAGAGGAAGGAGATTTCCCAGGATACCTCACACTTTCAGTTTACATCTGCAGTAGTTCATATCTATGTTTAGAGAAAAAAACCTTTCAGCACTGTATCAGCTGGTAATGCATGACTATAGACGTATAGAGCTGTGCAAAAGTGAATATAGTTTCACAACCTGTTCATATTTTGTTTGTTACAACCCCAAAATCTCAAGCTAATTTATAAAGATTATAGGTTCCCATTATAAATTAGCATAAACGTGATGTGGAAGTTGAAGGAGTTTAATTACTATTAAAGGAAAGAAAAGTTCAACATGCATTTGTGTTCAGTCTCCCTTCCTCTGATAGCTCTCCTTAAAATCTTGTGCATTCAGATGTAATAGGAAATACTGTCCAGGTGTGTAAGAGGGATTCTAATGAAGATCTCTGAGCTCCTTTGTTTAAAGATTTATTTAAAAATAAAATAATCTTCTCTTTAATTTCTTTGCCACAAAAAGAAAAAGCCAAATGAGTTCAATCTGTTCTTGCATGGTTGTATGGTCACATGACCAGCTGCACGTCAGCATTCTAAATTATTATCGTATTTATCTTGATATACTGTATATATATATTGTTTATTCTTAATGCATCTTTTTCCTCCTTGTTTGCACCTTTTTTAATTATTATGCCAATATGTGACCAGTGAATTTCTCCGCTGTGAGATCAATATTGCTCATCTAATCTAAATTGACAGCGGCTTCTATGGCTAATGAGAGGCAGCCCAGGTAGCAGACGCTGTCTGACGCTGATGCAGAAGCATCGTCATGGATTAAAACCTTCATCGTATCACAAAATTTGACAAGTGGGAACTGGCCAGGTTTCCATTTCAGGATTTTGTTCCAGGATCCCGTTCTAGGATCCCATTCCAGAATCCACTCCAGGACTCTGAATATCTGGTGGGTCAGACTGGCGAGCAAGACCCATATAACGCACCAAAGGAAACAGCACTTTCGGTTAACTTCATCTCAACTAGGAACTGGTTGAATTCCTTGGATAAAGAAAAACACCTTTGATTT